GTTTGTTGACATAATTTTAAAAGTAAATGACTAAGTCTTGCCTCTCTTTGCACTAGAGATTCTAACCCACTCTCCTTACAATTCTCTGAAGCATTTCAGATCTAAGGTCATTGTCAGCTTCATAGTTCTTTCATTTTTGGATGTTCATTATGCAATGGCCACTGTGCCAAATATCCTACATATCCAACTTTTAATTCCCAAGGTAACTCTGCAAAGTGTGGTATATATGTCTTCATTTTACAACCGGGAATACTGAATCTAAGAACGAGTAAGTATTTGGTCCCAGCTGGTTACTAAACAGAGTCAGAATATGACCCAATCTCTATCTCTCTCCTCGGGCTATGAATTTTCCAGAGACCCTGATACCTCCCTTCCTGTGTCCCACCCTTCCCGCCCTAATCAAGGTGATTATAAAATAATGGAAATTCTGAATATGCCTACCTACTTATCTTAAACAGAGCAGACTAGTTAAAAAGACACTTTAGTAAGTATTTGTAAAACATAAATACATACCATATCTTGAGATGATATACATTTGAATTTTCTCTTGAAAAGGTAAATAACTTCATGTCAGAAATAGAAATTATTTTTTTCATTTTAAGAAATAATTTTATTAAATTGCACAAATTTAGTACTCATTGTTCACACTCTGGGCACTGACACCATAAGAAAATCTGAGATTTCTCTTCGGGATAGTTTGAGAAATGTATAGTGCATGCTTCGTTACACTTAGTGCAACTTAGTTGTATAATATGTATGTCTCCTTTATAAGTGACGTTGTACTTCTCCCTCTCCAAACTATATTAGTACTTTACTAGCAACTAACTCATGTCTATTAAAAGTGACACAAGATGAATAAATTCCTTCTTGAATTCTTTTGTTAGTTGACTTCAGTAGTATAGATTTCCCTGGCTTCTATTCAAAATTCAATTCTATACCCTTATGCTCCAGATATGAAGCAGACATATGGATAAACATAAGTGGTCTGTTAACAGACCCTTTCCCCCCCTTTTCTTTCTTTATTTCAATGCATTTATATCATTGACCTTTGGTTCAAAAAGCATTCGGCAGTCTTTAACAGAGAGAGACTATGAAAGGGGGTGTTGTAAAGGCTTATTCTATAAAAGAAGTCACACAGGGACAGCTTTATAGTTGCTGAGTGATTTAATTCTGATACAGGCAGGAATTGGCCATGGGCCATAAGTAACATGATGGAAACACACTACTAAATGCTGCCTCACAACCAAACTCTACTACACCATACAGTATTTTTTAAAAAGAGGGAATAAAGTACTTCCTTTTCTGTTGCTTTAAAATTTATCCAGGGAAAGTGAAGTATGGTATCTAAACTAGTCAACTGCTTTATCAGAATTCATAAAGCCATTCGTGGACTTTTTAAAATCATCAAGTAAGAAAGATACTTTCTGTTGAGAAAGATGTCTGTTTAAATTGGTCTTTTGAGATGAAGGCCACTAACAAGAGTAGCAGTTACCTTGAGAACACTAGTTATTAGTGTTATGAGATAGGAATAAGGTATATCAAGATAATACATTTTTCTTATAGGCAGTGGGTTGAGCAAATATCATTTGCTAAAAGTAGCTTTTTATTCTTCTGTATATTGAAGAATATAAATGAGGAGCTAGCATTTTCACTGACATCTTAAAAATCTTGGCAGTTGATTAGTTTGTTAGCCATTCTTTCTTTGTAATTTTCTGGCAGTATAACAAGATTTAAATTGACCGATTAGTTTCTTGTTGAGTCATAGGCTATTCCTAAACTTCCTGTTTGATAAATACAAGTATACTTTGATAGACCTTTCAGAATTTTGGGCTGTTCTTCTATAAGACTGATATGTATGTGTGTTTCTTTTCCTTATGTTTTCTTTTTTGAAAAATTTCTTAAGAAATATGCTTCATATTGCTATGTAAATTTCAGTTGCATTTTGAAAAGCAATGCTCATTTTCTGTACTAAAATCAGTACACATTTTAATTAAAACTTTAACAAAGTAACCAAATATTAGGGCTTGTATCTGTAAGAAAGAATCTTGGACTTTAATAGGGTGTAGTTTTTCTTTAGGCAATAAGAACTCTTCTTTTGTTAAGCTGGCAGTGAGTAAAAAGACCCGGGCTTATTCTGGGCAAGGCAGAAATATCTCGGGGTCAGAACCTAAATAAATGGTTAATTGTAGTACTTGGAATCTACAGCATGAAGCTTGATATCCAAGTCACTATCAAATTATTTGGCAGGCAAATTTCTTGTACAAATGTGGAGTCAAGCTCAGGGAGGAGTAGCATATAATGGGGGAAAGTCTGGCCTTTTTGAAATAAACATTTCTCACTACGTGTGGGCAATTCACCTTTTTGAATTACCTTAATATTATAGTAAGCATTATGAACTCCACTTAATAGAGTTATTTTGAGGATTAGAAGGCATATATATTTATTGACATAGCTTATTAATGACATAAGCTCATTATCATCATCATGATAATGCTGTATAGTACCTTCATTTTATATTTTCTGTAAAGTTGTTTGTCAAAAAATTATATAACCCAGTATATTTGATAGTTTTAAGATAGGAATATGGGCTTTTTTAGGTTACTTCTCTGGATACAAAGCTTTAGGATATGTTAAGTATGCATTATTTGCCTAAGACTGCCTTTCTTTCCCTTCTGTTTGAGTAAAGTACTAAAAATATTCCATGTAGAACTCTTTGTCACTTTTTCTACTCCTTTTTCTCCCCCTATGGCTTGGATATTGCAAAGAACTATAGTAAAAGAAAGAGAGAAGTAAACATCAATTCTAGTTGCTCATTTTTAGGGAGAGAGGGCAAAGCCTCATTATTTAGCCCAGATGATGCTCATGAAAGTCACATCTCAAAACAAAAACAATAGCCCTTAGGTTATGTTAGAAGTAGAATATACATGGTTGAAACTTGTTTTACTGCTATTTTATAAAGCTCAACCAAAAGTGCTATTTACTCTGAAGTTCAGAACTTCTGTTTTTATTACAAAAATAGGAATATGGGAAATAGTAAGAGTCTAACTGATATACGAAAGCACTAAGTGTTAACAATTTTATCTTGGGTTCCTGAACTAAAATTAACAATCCCATAGGGGCTCATTATTTGAAGCTGAATCACTTTTAAAATTATATTGAAAAACAAATCTACCTTGAATCGTCTTCCATAGTATGAGCAGTGCCAAAATCTATTCAGATGCAGTTTAAAAATCTGAGATCCAGATTGAGTGTGTAAAGAAAGGTCACACTATTGGAGGCAGGCAAGTACAGAACTTTAGTTGTTCTGAGAAGCCTACTCACTAGCCATTTAAGTTTCTTTTTTCCTCTCAATACTTAACTCTAAAATTCTGTTCATGTGTAACTCTAAAATTCTATTCATGTGTCTCGAGCATTTATTTATCAACCATGTATTAAGTGCCTCCAGCCCAGATAGGATATCAAAATGACTAAGATACAGTCCTCAGACTCAGGGAACATACCAAATAAGATTTGTGAAATGAAAATAGTTTGCTTTAATACCATATCCCCAGGCTTGTGCTTGGTCTTGAAAACAATAAAACTATATAGTGTGGCCTCTTTCTCAGTCTTTAATAATGTACTTAGAGAATTAAGACTTACATATATGAAAAGAATACAGAATAGACTGTAAGATTATAATGTATGGTATAGGGAATGCAAAATAAGGAATTAGTCTCTGTATGCCAGTTAGACGTTTCATGGGAAAAGATCAGCCTGAAAGCAAGAGAATTTTTGAGAGGTGAAAGGAGAAAAGCTATTCTAAGTGGAATTATAGATAACAATACTAAGAATTTTGAAAGAAAATTTGACAGAAATTGATGATATACTGAATATGAGTGAAAGACTATAAGACTATAAGAGTTATGGGATAGAGAGAGGAGTTGAAAATATATCACAAAGGTTTTAAGTTTCATTGATTGAACATAGAGGATATCAATTATGCACTAGACATCTAAGAGAACAAGTTAATAGGAAGAGGTAGGACACTAAATAAAATATTCTTCTTATTTTAGATTTGTAGTTATACCCAAAAAAGTATCTCCAGAAAGCAATAGAAGTCTCCATGATAGTGATATTCACTTAATTATAAATTCCAGTTTAATTGCCAGAAATATGATGCATTAATACAACCTAACCCTCAAGTAAAAAGCTATGTTAAAATTTCCAACATCTAAATGAATATTAGTAGATACACTTATTAAAATCTTGGTCTTCAGGCCCTCCCTGGTGGCGCAGCGGGTTAAAGCACAGCACTGAGAATCTGAAGCCACTTCCGCATGAGTTCGATCCCCGCCTGCCTCCTGCCCCGGAGGAGACCACATGGCGAGCCAGACCTCTCCTGACCCGCCCGCTGCTCCCCTCAGCAGTGTACTTCATCGGTCTGCCTGTTCTGTTCCCCACTCTGTCTCTGGTGAAGCCTCTCACCGCCCCTGAGCCTCTGGCCTGTACCCCAGTTCTGTATGAATAAATAAATAAATCTTAAAAAAAAAAAAAATCTTGGTCTTCATATTCTTGAATCAGAGCCTAGCTTGGGTGAAAGTTAAAGGGTGTTTCTTCTCTTCTCCTTGCTAGGCAGGATGGGTACTGATCGACTGTGAAATGATCATGGAATAAGATGTAACAGTGGTACCAGTTCTCTGCCCCAGCATTTAGTAAACAAAGATTTCTGAGCACAGGGGAATCATATTCCCCATGGATCCTTCACAATTTATTTTGAACTACCCAGTGCAGAGGATTAAAGTGTCACAAATGATTAGCATTAGTACCATATTAATTGAATTTCTGTAGTTGTGAAGCTGTTCAACTTCCAAATAAAAATAAAACTTACTTAATACTTGTAGTAACTAGAATTTGGTTGAAAATATTTCTATCAATCTGTTAGGATAATTTATAATGGGTATTAGTCAACAAAAATTTCAGCCTGATTTTCTTTTGTTCATTGTTTTTGCTTTGACTTGCAGTTCTGGGAAATGCCAGTGCAAAATGGGTGTCATTGGCTCTACGTGTGATCGTTGCCAAGATGGATATTACAACTTTAGTAAGAGTGGGTGCCTGCCCTGCCAGTGCAATAATCGATCTGCCAGTTGTGATGCCCTCACAGGTACACACTTTCCTTATCTTTATATGCAATTAATTAATTTTTCTCATTTTGAGGTGCTTTATCTACGGGTTGATTTCCCCCCCCCCCCAAATAGTTCATAAAGATCTTTCTCTTCTGGGTTTGATGTAATAGGTCAGAGCAAACTCCTGTCACAAGCAACTTGAAAAAATATACATTTCAAAAAGTCATATTGGCTGGTGAGCTATGGAAGCAAAAAAGAACTATATAAGCTGAAATTCCAGCAGGGTAGCTGATTTACCTGTTGTTTTATTTCCTGTGCTGAGTCTGATTTAGTCTTTAAGAGACTAGAGAGCAGGCTTGGCTTAAGCAAATGGATTCTTCTTGAGAAAAGTATACAAGAAGAGCTATAGCAATAGTTTGTGGTTTGTACAATGCATTAGAAACTGGGAAAGCCTAAATACAAGGACATTATCAGGAGGTACAGGAGGTAGAAAGCTTATAAAAAAAAAAGCTTATAAAAAAGTTTAAAAGAAACCTCTCATTCTTGTTAAAAGACAAAATCTTTATAGAAAGAGAGGACCTACAATAACATATAGCTATTTTTGTCTCAAGACATTGCCAGATTCTGAAGGGCTCCTAAGACCACAAAAGACAATGTGAATCTGTCCAATTCTTTTAGAGCTGAGGCCTGCCTGCTCTGAGGGCCAAATAAAGAAATACTGATGAACATTAGGTAAACTGCCTTGTGCTGAAATTATAGTCCATCCTCAAATCATTTCAATTTCTAATTGGATTTAGGTGATTTTATTGCAGATTAAGTGGGGAGTGATATGTGTTGTTTTATATACCATATGTGGCTATACAATCAAAAATACTAGGCAATTTTGAGATAGAACAATATGACCAATAATACAGAGAAAAAATAAACAATGGAAGCAAGCCCACAGATGATCCAGAAATTAGAGTTAGCATACAATGCCTTCAAAAGAACTAAAATTAATACTTGGAAAAATCAGACAAAAGATGTGAAAAGAGACATTTCAAGAGAACTGAAATAATAAAAATATCAGAAGGACACTCAAGAACTGAAGACTATAACATCTGATGAACTGAAGAATTACATAGATAACTACTTTAAAATTCATGGCATGGCCCTCCCTGGTGGCACAGTGGGTTAAAGCACAGCACTGAGAAGCTCAAGCCACTTCTGCATGAGTTCGATTCCCGGCTGTCCCGGAGGAGATCCACAGGGCGCGGCAGACCTCTCCTGACCCGCCCGCTGCTCCCCTCAGCAGTGTATTTTGTTGATCTGCCGTTCTGCTCCCCGCTTTGTCTCTGGTGAATCCTCTCACCCTCTGCATCTCTGACCTGTACCCCAGTTTTATATGAATAAATAAATAAATCTTTAAAAAAATTAACGGCATGAATATAATAGCAAAGTGTACACACTACAGATAAGGTTAGTAGATTTGAAATAAGTGCAACACTGTCCAAATGTAGATCAAGATGTAGTATGTGTGCACAATGGATTACTACTCGGTGATCGCAAATGGTTAGAGCTGGGAGGGAGTATGTTGAGTGAAACACGTCAGAAGGAAAAAGGTAAATATTGGGAGGATCTCACTTATATGTGCAATATAGAGAAACCAAACAAAAGGTGGAGAAAAAGATGACATTTGCAAGCTGACCGTAGATCTGAGGCAGACAGCAGGGGAGGGGAGAAGGAGCATCAAAATAGGGGAAGGGAGAGCACAAGGCACTGTGGTGGTAGTTCATGGGTGATGCGGTGGTGGGAGAACTGTGGGGTCTACTCCTGAGGGGAGAGACCAGTTACTGTACAAAAATAAACAGTGTGAGAAAATGAGAAAGTAAATTTAGAGGGGGGGGGGAAACATCCAAATGGAAGCACAGAGAAATACCTGCAATGGAAAGAACACAACAGGTAAGATATGGGGGTCCAACCACCAAAAGCTCTAACATAAATGCAGCCGGTGACCCCAAAGAAAAGAGAAATACTGCCAAAGCATTATTGAAAAGTTAATGACCAAGCATTTTTCCAAATTGATGAAAAGTATCAATTCACAGTTCCATAAAGATAAAGACTTCAGGTAGTAGAAACACAGAGAAAACTACTTCTAGATAAACTATTAAAAACTAAAGACAGGCCCTCCCTGGTGGTGCAGCGGGTTAAAGCACAGCACTGAGAATCTAAAGCCACTTCCGCATGAGTTTGATTCTCGCCTGCCCCAGAGGTGACCACATGGCGCGGCAGACCTCTCCTGACCTGCCCGCTGCTCCCCTCAGCAGTGTACTTCGTAGATCTGCCTGTTCTGCTCCCCACTCTGTCTCTGGTGAATCCTCTCGCCACCCCTGAGCCTCTGGTCTGTACCCCAGTTCTGTATGCACAAATAAATCTTTAAAAAAAAAAACAAAACTAAAGTTAGTTAGCTTTTCTTATCTTCAGTTTTCCTAATGTAAGAGAATAGTTTCTTGGGGAACCCTCCCTCCCTGCCAAAAAAAATTCAGGACCCACTAGTCTGACAAATACAAATTGGTTTTGTTTTGTCTTAATGAGAGTAGAGTAGCAGAATACTTGGAATTGAAATTATGCTGGAAAAAGCTATGCTGAAAGTTATTATTCATTCTAATCCTTTGGTGAAACAAACTGATTTAGAAAAAATTGTGTGTCTTTTCTCTGATGTGATCTGGTCCTTACTTGCCAGTTCTGTCTTGTGCTCTCCTTTTTGTTTACTGGGTTCTGGTCCTAAAATGAGCTCTGTTCCCTTGTCTTACAGTTCTCATGCATGACTTTTCCTCTGCCTGTATGGTCTTTCTGATACACCTCTACCCTCGCCCCTTGCCCCTTTGCCTGATTAAATCATTCTTCCTTCAGGCCTTTAATTAAAGCTTACTTCATTTTTTATGTAGTTGCTGATACTTTAGGATAATTGATTCCCAAGTATGTGTTCTCACACACACTGGTGGTTTCTTCATAGTCCTTATTGCAGTTTGTAATTACGCATATTTATGAATATGAGTCATATACAGCTTACTCACAACATTGTAAATTCCATGAGGGTAAGAGCAATATCAATTTTGTTCACTGTTGTCCACAATCTCTAGAATGGGGCTAGACACATAATAATTACTGTTTGTTCAGTAAGTGAATGAAGGAACGGAAAAAACGTACAAAGGAAAGATGAATTTCAATCCTACTTACTGACAGAAATGCTTCATCACTCAGTTAATTTAAATTGTTCCATAGGTCTTTTACAGTGCCAGAAAAACTGTCTACAGTGTTGGTTCTCACTTCTAATTTTCCTTGCAGCAGTTGAGGTAGGTTTTTTATAATGTCCTGTATATCCCAGCCTATCTTTGCTCTGGAGATAATTTAAGGCAAAAGAAAGGCTTTTCATGGTTATACTTTCTAAAAGAAGCTAGTAATAAGGGAAATGAAAGGTTCTCCTGGAACTATAATAAAAGTGGAATCCAACATGGTGTGAAAATACTTGATTTAAAACTACAAAAAACCTGCAAGCTTCATATGAAATTAGTCTTTTGTCTCAAACATGTTTTAAAACAGTGCTGTGATACGGTTGCCCTCTGGTGGCCACTTACTGTGTTTTCATAGTCCTGATTTCACAGCTTTTATCTACCTTAGTCCTTACTGTGCTTTATGTTTTAGGTTGAAGTAGATGTTTTTTAATATTTCTTTTTATAAATTATGTGATTTCTTTATTTTTAGCATAGAAGAACTGGGGTGTAGGCCAGAGGTAATGGGGAAGGTGAGAGGATTCACCAGAGACCTAGTCGGGAGCAGAACAGGCAGATTTACTGAACTCTACACTGCTAAGGGAGCAGTGGGTGAGACAGGAGAGGTCTGCTGTGCCATATGGGTCAGCTCTGCTGTGCCATGTGGGTCAGCTCCCTGGCCGGGGATCAAACTTAGGCTGTAGCAGTGTTAGCACTGGAACATAAACCCTAGGCCACCAGGGAGGCCCTGAAGTAGACTTTTAAAACAACCCATTTGGATCAAATATATTGGGGAAAATGTTTTGGGAAACAATTTGACAGTGTGTTTCTGAAGTCTTAAAAATATGTTTTGACCTAGTAATTCTGTTTCCAAGACTCTACTATGAGGAAATAATTCCTGGTTCAGAAAAAGCTTTTGTTCAAAACTCTTCATTAAGTAGTTATAATCGTAAGAAAGTAAACAGCCCTATTTCTAACAGGGAGTGACAACAATGAAATCTTGACGTTACCTTGCATTTTCTCTTAGCCTGTTTTCTCACCTAGAAATCTTGGGTAACAACAGTAGGTGCTGAATGAGTGGCTGTGAAGATTCAATGCATTGTATTATAAAACCCTTAAACAATGCCTGATTATAAGCAATCAATAAATGACAACTATTATTGTGTTGTCATTAAAATGTTTAAAAGAATTATACATAATAGCAGGAAAGAATAAAGCAACAGGGTAGAAAATTACATGTACCGTATGCTTAGACTATTTAAGAACTGAAACCCAAACTTCTCTATATAAGGAAAGATTTCTAGAAGTATTTGAAATCTTAATGACAGATTTCTTAGGGTAATTATTTTTTTTTCTGTATTTTTCTAGATTTTCTTTACTAATAGATGCATTTCCCCCTTAAAATAGAGAGGGGCTATTATTTTTCAACTAGAACTTCATGTTCACACTCTTTTGAAGACTTTCATGTGCCTACATATACTCAGTGTCCCACAGTGAGTACTTGACTTCAGAAGTGACTTGGCTGAGCTGACTGCTCCTTCAACCCCCTAGTTTAGGATTTCACACTTGCCTGCTTTCAGTGTGTAGCGCTTCTTATGACTCTGCTCAGGTACTGTCTTTCCAAACTAAAGAGTTTATAGCCCAGTAAGGAACACAGAACTCACTGACATGGCAAGGGAGGAAAGAAGGTGTGGTGGGTTTAAATTTGGTCTTAAATAATTTTATTCCTGTATACCTGTGCTCCAGGTGCATGTTGTTTTAAAGCAGTATATAGTGGTGAATTTTTATAAGTTGATGAGTCTTATCAACTGTATTTGTTTTCATCTTTATTTTTGAGATAACATACTTACCATGTAGAGTTATTTTTTTCTTCTCATGGCAGCATATGGTATAAAACAAAGGAAAATTGAAATTCTTCAGGAAAAGTTATCTAATATGAATGCTTTAAGAGGGTGAAATTATATCTTGATAATCATAAAGGTTTAGGGTTTTATCTAGAATAGTAAAAAGCTCACAAATAATTATCAATAATTTTGAAATCCCAGAAATATTACAGGAGTGAAATATTTACATTTGCCTTTTATTTATTTATTTTTTAAAGATTTATTTACTTATGCATACAGAACAGAGGCACAGGCCAGAGGTGCGGAGGGTGAGAGAATTCACCAGAGACAGTGGGGAGCAGAGCAGGCAGATTGATGAAGTACACTGCTGAGGGGAGCAGCAGGCGGGTCAGAAGAGGTCTGCCACACCAAGTGGGTCAGCTTCCTGGCCGGGGATCGAACTTGTGCTACAGTGGCTTTGGAGAGCTTCATAATATGGTGCTTTAACCTGTTGAGCCACCAGGGAGAGCCCTATATTTGCCATTTTTTAATAAGAGCAACAACATGTTTTCTTGCACATCAATCATGTGCAAATGGAATATCATTGGAATACATCTTGTCTCAGACATCCATATTCTGTTATAGTGCTATTAATTGTTTTGAGGACTGTTTTACATTAAAGTTTAGAACTTAGAACTATTTTCTTAAAATTTATTTACATTGACATTTTTAATGAGGAGAGAGTGACTGGATAGATTTTACACATTATATAGGTTTAACTTTTCCAGCTTGCAGAACACTTGAAGATTTTTGATTATTTAAAAATTACTTTTGGAGTCAAAATCCTAGTATGTATTTTTCAGCTTTTTTATTGTCACATAGCTATATAGCTATCAAGAGATCAAAATATAAGATCTGGAAAAAAAGTGTTAGTAAAGTGTCACTGGATGAGGATATCCTACCTTCTTTAAGTGAAAAGCATCACTAATACTGTTAGGCCTTTAAAAATTGTAGGACTAAAAGTGGTGATATATGCAAGTTTGATTTAATTTAAATGTTTGGATAACTTTTAGAGGTATCTTTCATAATAAGCTTATAAACTTTGAGGAAATTCTGTTGTAAATACATAAGAATTGAGACCTAACATTATTGATGTTAATGTTAATAATATTTTCATATCTTGCTGCAAATGTCAAACCATTTTATTCCATAGCCCCACTCTCTCCCCCCTCGCCTATACCTTCTCAACTCACATTTAAAGTTTACTGCAGATGTATTTAGTGTTTGAATCTGTTTATATTATGTATCCATTTGCTGAGTATTGTTTGATGTGTTTTGCAAGGTTTTACAAATAAGTATTCCTTCTGTATGTATCATTCTGCAATTTGCTTTTGTTAGCATCTTTTAGATGTGGGTCCACTTCATTTATTTAACTGTAGTATCCCAACTGTGAAAATAGTGTATCCTTGTTTAAACAGATGTTTAATTTTGAGGTTTTTTTTTTCTTTACAAATGTTGGCCTGCTTTCAGTGTGTAGCCAGTTAAACAACCAGCGCTTCTTATGACTCTGCTCATGTACTGTCTTTCCCTCAAGAGTTTATAGCCCAGTAAGGAACACAGAACTCACTGACATGGCCAGGGAGGAAAGAAGGTGTGGTAAAAAATGAATTCTGTCCAGTCACTGCTGGGGCATTTTTTTTCTGGCTAACACTTAAGGGCTTTTGATTACTGGCATGATTTTTTTTCTAAGTAAAAATCTCTAACTTAAAAAAAAAATTGCTTCTTTTAGGTTCTTGTATAAATTGCAAAGAAAACAGCAAAGGAGATCATTGTGAAGAATGCAAAGAAGGATTTTACCAGAGTCCTGATAGTAAGAAAGAATGTCTTCGCTGCCCTTGCTCTGCAGTGACATCTACAGGCAGCTGCATCATAAGTAAGGACTTGCCCTAGGTCTCTGAGAGTGAAACATCAGTGGAGGGATACCAATAGGTAGAAATTGTGTTCATAATCAAAGTTCTGGTTCTTATAGGTATAAGGACGTTATAAAAACAAACAAAAAAGTTTTTTCTTTTAGGAATTTGCCATAAAATCCAAATGCATATGTGACATGAGACTTAAACTATCGAAAAAGCAACATAATGAATGAATTCATAAAAACACTTCAAGACTAAGGAAATGGGAAACTTTTGATTTGAACTTAAATTGCTCACCTATTTGGAGGTTACATCACTAATAAGTCACTAATTAACTATTTTTAAATTGTCCTTTCTAGGTACTTAACAATTGTGACTAACGGTATCTAGACAGCAACCTTACAAATACAGCTAACTCTTATTTCTTCCTGGTGTATTAGTGATCTATTACTGCATAACCAATTACCCTAAAATTTAGTGGTTTGAAACACTAAAGCATTTATTATCTCACATAGTTTCTGTCGGAATTTGGAAGATGCATAGTTGAGTGGTTCTGTTTTAGGTTCCTTCTTTCCTTCCTTTTGTGAGGCTAATGTTAAAGATACAAAGCTATAAACTGTATTGAGTTATTAAAATGGCATACAATTTACCTATTTCAAATATATCATTCAAGTTCAAATTCAATTTAAAATATGCAATTTAGTATATTCTTAATGTTGTGCAAACATCATCACAATCAAGTTTAGAACATCATTTTACTCCCTCTATCAAAAACAGACTCACTAACCCTGCAGCAAGCAGTCAGAGCCAATTAGCACTCACTCCCTTTTCCTCTAATCACAGGTGACCACTAACCTACTTTTCCCTTTCTATGGACTTACCTATTCTGAACATTTATATAAATGAAGTCATATAATATGTGACCTTTTGTAGATGCCTGGCTTCTCTTCCTGAGCATATTTTTTAAGGCTCATCCATGTTGTAACACATACAGATATTTTATTCCTTTCAACTGTCAAATAACTTTCTACTTTTATGGATATCCCAAATCTTGTTTATCCATCTATTGATGAACATTTGGGTTGTTTCTACCTTTTGTTCGTTATGAATAAGCTGCTATGAACATCTGTGCTCGTGTGTTTGTGTGGACATAGGTTTTCATTAGTCTTGGGTATATATTTAGGAGTAGAATTGCTAGGTCCTATAGTGACTCTGGTTTAGACTTTGAAGAATTGTTAGACTGTTTCCAAAGTAAGTCATTTTTCTCTCACCAATGTTGTGTAATGGTTCCAAATTCTCATTATTATTTTAATACTATTGTTTTAATATAATAACCATCCTCATGGCTGTGAAGTAGTATGACATTGTGGTTTTAATTTGCAGTCCCCTGATTCCTACTTATATGGCCATTTACATATATTCTTTTAAAAAAAAGTCATTTCAGATCCTCTGCCCACTTTTGAGTTGGATTATTTTTGTTTTTATCATTGAGTTGGAAGTGTTCTTTATATAGTCTAGTCACAGTCTCTTTTCTCCACCTCCTCTCTAACACTTGTTTTTTGTCTTTAGAGGACAGCTGTTCTCACAAGTAGTAGTTCATTGTTTTGTTTCAGTTAGTTTTAAACAGACATTTAGACACATCTTATAAACACACTAACCATTTACTAGATGCTAAGCTCTATACTAGGTGCTTTGAATTAAAAGAGAAATAACCATGTTGTAAAAAGTAACTTACGTTGTAAAAAGGAAGATACCCCTAACTCAGGATAGAGTGAATGGAGTTTGGAGCAATGACACAGTCCTACTGGGAGGCCAAGGAAATCTTTTTTAAAAAGATTTATTTATTCACACAAACTGGGGTACAAGCCAGAGGTACAGGGGCGGTGAGAAGCTTCACCAGAGACAGAGTGGGGAGCAGAACAGGAAGATCGAGGGAGTACACTGCTGAGGGGAACAGTGGACGGGTCAGGAGAGGTCTGCCGTGCCATGTGGACCACTTCCAGGGCCGAGGATTAAACTTGCACTGAAGCAGCTGCCGCCAGTTTGCAGTGCTGCATCCTAACCCATTGCGGCACCAGGGAGGGCCCTGCCTAGGAAGTCTTAATGGATAAGGTGGTAACTGAACTGAGCCATGAAGAGGGAAGATCAGACACCCAGTAATATATCCATTTAGAGATGAAGGGGACACTAAAGTCAAAGACTGAACAGGGTCCCAACCAGTTCCAGAGACTGTACTGAACTAGCACTGCAGGCTGAGGATGGGAAATGCCCAGCTGACTTAGTGTGATGTTCTCAGAGCTCTCTGTTTCTAATGGAGAGACCACACATGGATACATGCAACACAGTATTATGGATCTAATCACAGTGAATACACAATGAGGGGAGAGTTATGCTATTTGGAATTGGGGGATAGCAACAAAGACTTTGGAGAGAAGGTGGCACAAACTGAGTCTTGTAATGAAGGCTATAATTGAGAAGTTGGTCAAACAAATGAAGAATATTTCAGCTAGAAAATTCAATATGATTAGAGGTCTGTAGCTGCTAAAATAGCTATCTAAGAATATCAGAATAAATGTATAAGAGACATGTAAGACATGAGGTGGGGTCTTTGAATGTCACATCTTGAGGTCCATGCTTTGTACATGATAGACATGAAGATTTTCACAACTCTCAATTTTAATCCTCAGTCTATTTTCACTGGTCATTTTTCACATTAATTTTTGTTGCTATAGTGTGTTGAAACCCAATGCTATAAAATATGGAATCATTGTAAGTGATGCGTTTTTTTTAAGAACAAGAAATACACCTTTTTGTTGAGTACTTTTTCTCCATTGTTTGCATGGTTTTTTAATTCATTCACCATCATCTTTTATCTTAGTTCCTTTACTTTAAATATGGAAAACTGAGGCTGAGAGTTTAGTAACTTAGTTGAGATCACACTAGTAATTTGGAGTGTAAATAGTAAGTTAAGATCCAACTAAGATGGGAGGGATGGAAGAAATTTTTTGCTCAAGACATATTTTAACTTTTCATCATGAGGACAGGATTTGAAAAATGAGTACCTTTCCAGCATACTAGTCAGATTTCTTGCATCAACATATATCTTTCACTCACTCCAAAAATAGATTATCTCAAAGGTTCATCATTCTCAACATAAACTGAACAATTAGTAAATAAGGCATAGATTATAAGTTTGATTCCATGTCTCTTAAGATTGAGAGGAGATAATAGGGAGAATTTAATAACCTTCTTGAACGTACTAGTAGTTCTTTTGCTTTTTTTTATTGTAGCTCGAGAATATACTAATTTATTGTGCCATTCTCTCTCTTTTAGAATTGGGAGAATCAGAGCCTAAATGTGTCCAGTGTAAAGATGGTTACACAGGCCAGAACTGCAATAAATGTGAAAATGGCTATTACAATTCTGACAGCATCTGTGTAAAGTGCCAATGTCATGGCCACGTGGACCCCATTAAAACTCCAGAAGTCTGTAAACCTGAGAGTGGCGAGTGCATCAGCTGTCTCCATAACACCACTGGGTTTTGGTGTGAGAACTGCCTAGAAGGTTATGTTCGAGGCCTCGAGGGAAATTGCATCAAGGAAGGTAAAGCTTCACCTAAGGTTATAAATTTAATTACTAAACTTAGCAATGAAAATTTCAGCTGCCTTTACCTTTGTAAAACCCTTCAAACCCACCAGTGGAATTTTCTGGAAATAGATTTTGATAGGTACTTGCCTAAAGAAATTTCCTTCCATTCCTGCTGCTCTCCTGATACTCCAAAGTCAATGAGGACCAAGACAAAGTCATTGTTGTCACATTTCCTCTTCATCTATTTTTATTTTCTGTTAATAATTTAAAAGTCCTATCATTTCTTTTATTCTTTGCTTCCTGTATTCTCATTGCTTCCAGTAGTCATCAAAGGCCTTTTCCAGTAGGGACCTATAATCTGATTAGAAGTTCTAGTTGAGAACCAAAAGAGATCATTCTAGTATCTAATCCTAACTTTGGGCCTAAATTTTCCCATGTGTGATGGAGGAAAAGTAATAATAATCCTTTTAATTTTTAAAACAAAATGTAACTCCTATGGCAAAAATGTTTCTTTAAGAGAAATTTAGTAAGTACTGTAAGAGTTTAGGCAAAAATGAATAATTAGATCCTCAGGATGAGTAAGGGATATTCAGTATTCCTTAGGTCAGGCAGACATTAGACTCTGCCCTTCTAGAAACTACCCTTTGACATTCTAAATGATGCTGAATACTGGGTTGGACAGTTGATCAGTGGCAGGGTTGCCTCTTTTTGTCATTTTCTCGATATCCTTATTCTTTTGTGATCAAGGCCTAAATACTCAGATTGAGCCCTGTTACTAGCCTGGAGATCTTGTCACTCAACTCTCCTTCCCAGTTGGAAGCATACAGGCCTGTGGTGATTTTTGTGTTACTTATTAGGCAATGGAAAGCATGCCTCTTTTTTAGGTAGATCGATTTGGCTAACTGTGGTAACAGTAATAATAATAATAATAATAATAATAATGTCATTGAGTATTTACAATGTGCCAAACACACTAGACATTAAAAGTGATAGTGTACTGGGCCCTCCCTGGTGGCGCAGCGGGTTAAAGCACTGCACTGAGAAGCTAAAGCCACTTCCGCATGAGTTCGATTCCCGCCTGCCCCGGAGGAGACCACATGGCGTGGCAGACCTCTCCTGACCCGCCCGCTGCTCCCCTCAGCAGTGTACTTCGTTGATCTGCCTGTTCTGCTCCCCACTCTGTCTCTGGTGAAGTCTCTCACTGCCCCTGAGTCTCTGGCCTGTACCCCAGGTCTGTATGTACAAATAAATAAATCTTTAAAAAAAAAAAAAAGTGATAGTGTACAGTATATTATCTCATTCAAGTACTTTCCAAGAACTTTGCAAAGTAGGTATTATTATTCCATTTTACAGACAAGGAGCCTCAACTTTAAAAATATTGCCTTTCTAATCAATAGCCACATAGTTCTACTTGCTTCCAAAGCCCTTGGTATTTCCACTAAACTATGTTGCATTAGAAATACAAAGTCTAAGGCTTTCATTGTAAAATTGTTACAATCTGCACAAATGAAGATTTACTACAATTAAAAGAAAGCTGTTTTCTCTTTTAGCTGGCATCAGTTTTGGACATTTAGATTGTGTTTTTCAGAAGAAACTGAAAATACAATTTTGATATTTTAATTTTGTCTCCCTGAAGAGAATTTTATCCTTATGAAATGCCATCATATTGTTGAACTTATTTTACTTCAAATGATTGTCATTTATCCTTGTCACTTTTAACCAAGAGATTTAGAACTCAGTAGTGACATTTTTACTGTCTTGTGGGACTTTTATGAATCTATTCAGGAGCAAAGAAAGATAGGAAAGTCCAATATTAGAATTTCCCCAAAGATTTTAATATAGTTATTATGCATTTTGGAGAAGAGTCATGAAATGTAATAATCCAGCTTTCTAGACCTGATTCTTTTCACTATATCTCTTTACAGTTATTTTTAACTCATATTACCTTAAAGCAGAAGGTCATGTCAACATCCCATATCAACTTCCACTCCCATGTGTATTTCTTTATTGTTTCTTAAAACTAGATAATTTTGTCTTTTACATTTCATTCTCTGTTTTTATTTTCAGAAGTTATTGTTCCAACACCTGAAGGTTCTACCATTTTGGTTTCCAATGCCTCTTTGACCACATCAGTGCCCACCCCTGTTGTAAATAGTACATTTACCCCCACAACCCTGCAGACTATCTTTCCAGTAAGCTCTTCTGAAAACAGCACATCAGCTCTAGCTGATGTATCATGGACCCAGTTTAACATCATCATTTTGACAGTCATCATCATTGTGGTGGTGCTGCTGATGGGATTTGTGGGGGCCGTCTACATGTACCGGGAGTACCAAAACCGCAAGCTCAATGCCCCCTTTTGGACCATCGAGCTGAAAGAAGACAATATCAGCTTCAGCAGCTACCATGACAGCATTCCCAATGCAGATGTGTCAGGACTGTTGGAAGACGATGGCAATGAAGTGGCTCCCAATGGGCAGCTGACCCTGACGACTCCCATACATAACTACAAAGCCTGAGAAGCTAGAACTTCACTCCTGGGTTGTCCGAACGAGTGCTGGCTAACACAGCGTCAGCCCCTGGCCAGACAAAGCCTGGGTAGGGGTTGCTGAGAAAGTGAAGGCCTGTAGCACATCCGAAATTTTCAGGTGTAAATTTATAATCCACGTGGCCTGTTACTCTTAGTTTTCCCATGAACAGCTGAAGCATTCACTGTCAGTGAGGACTTGAAGTAAAGTATATTTTTGTACCAAATCACATGGGAGTATAGAGAGGCTGAGCTCCATAGTACAACCCAAATCCACCTCCAAATAGATTCCTGGGAAGTGTTCGCCAAGCCAGAGGAAACAGGATGATGGATGTGGAGGCAAGCAGCTCCCAGAAGACTTCATCTCCATTCCTAAGACATTTGTTTGTAAGGGGGATCAGGGATGATACTGTACTGGACAGAGGACATCATTGAGGAAAAGCTGATGTCTGGCCTGTATTGTAGTGAACAATCTTGGTTGTTTTTACAATAGGGAGAGAAGATCCAAGGTGATCTGCAGGACTTGATTTTCACTTCTAGAATTTTTGCTGAATGGTAGGATTAAAGCACAGGATAAGCTTCTAATGACAGAGAGAGGAAGGCAAAGTCTGAGAGCAGGAAGCTGATGGTCCTCCTTAGGGTCTCAGTATAAATGATAAATTGTCTAAAAATAAGGACTATTAGAAAAATAAGGTGTATATAGTTAATGTAGCATATCTGGTCAACATTGCATTTGTATCTATTTGTAAAAAAAAATCATGTCATATTTTATCCTCTAGAATGTATTTGTACAGCAGCTAATGGTGTTGTAAAAAGAAAATACGGGGATTGGTTAAAATACTGTAAAATAGATGGCAATATTGCTAGAGCTGGGACTCTGGTAAGCATCAGTCATTTTTAGTTCCTGTTTGGACATTGTTGAAATTTATAAAAGATTGAATGTTTCTCATCTTTCCTTCCCTTTCTCAATCTGAAAGTAGAATAATATGTACTTTGACTTACTGTAGATTCAAGCAATAGAATTTTAAGTCGGTGATTGGGACACAGGCTGTATTCTCCAAACTGCTCGCCTCAGTAGATATTAGCCTCTCTGTACATTTTACACAGAGTGGTGTAGAGCATATCTTCATCCACGGAAAAGAGGTTTTTTTTTTTTTTATGTAAAAGATAGTCTTCCAAAGGAGTTAGAAATATTTTAGTTCCAAAAGAAAAGCCATCATATCACTTGGATCCCCTGCTTTCATGCCTGTGAAATATTTTTATTCTTGTCTGCCAGAATACCTCCTACATCTGCTCAGCCTCTAAGTCGGGTCACAGCAGTGCCGTGGACCCCCTCTCTTCCTTTCCCGTCAAGAGGGTAGCTCTGTAGTTGGGTGGGTGTGCCTAGTCCTTACTTGTAGATGTAGTCTTTCCCTAGCGACTGTCTGTCATCGCTCTCATCTTTATTATGGATTGTGGATGAAGTGAGTCAGAAAAAGTAGCCAGAAGTCAAATATAGCTATTTACTAGTAAGAACAGCAAACTGTCAAGTCAAGTGGTTAGGACAAAAAAAAAAGACTTAGTACAGTAGACCTAAGAAATCTAAGTTACAGCTCTGCCTGACTTCTCCAGAGAAAGACCCAGAATTTGGTCTTCTATCTAAAGGAGACACCTACATTGTTCTTGGGGTTTGGAGATGATGCTCTGAATGATTGGTATAGACAGCTTATCTTTCTGGTAACCCAAAATTCTTGGGCATTGCTTGTGAGAGTAGAGATTACTTTGTATTACATTACATTAAAATAAGTTTCTGCAGTTTGTAAAACACCTTTCCATATGTGTATCCCTTGTGCTTCACTGTAGCCCCCTGAGGAAGTAATTATCCATCTTGCAGGTGATGGAGCTACACATTATGTCACTATTAGGCTTAAAATCAGGACTCCTAACTCTGAAGCTCACATTCTTTCAATTATCTGCTGATGTCGAAATTTCCTACTCATGGATACAAGAAGGCTAGGAGAGAGAGTCCCATCTGTGAGTGTTTCAATTTTTTGTAAATACGAGGTGCAATCCGGGGCCACGCAGCTAGGAAGGACTTTGTGCAACAAACACGGGAGGATTACTATCTGAAGCTAGTATTGGTGATAAGAAAACAAAGCTACCCCTTTCATTAACATGAACCAATCCTTCCAAGTTAGGAGGAGATTCCTGCTTCCCCCAGCAGCTGCCACTTATGTGTGTACAGATGGTGCTCTGCGCTTTCAAGGAGTTGTGAGAAGTGGCAGACCTTCTCCTAGATCTCTACCCTCTCGAAGTCAGGGACTGTGGATGGTGAAAAATAAACGTTTGTTCAGTAGAAGTTAAACAAGTAGAGAAATAGGAGTGTTTGTTGGCATCTGAGAGCCAAGCCATGTAATCTGGATTCTGGCCACGTAGGGATTCTCTGAAACAGACCTAAGAAAGTGCTGCAGAGATTGAGTCACAAAGGTAAAGCTATTCGTTCACCTTTAAACACCTATGAACTAGGTTATAGTCACAATTTTTCCCAGTGGGAGGGAAAAAAGTTAAGGTCTTAAATTTTGTTTTAAACAGTATCCGTTAGTGTTCTCTGCTTTTTACTAGTGGAAATAATTTTGCTCTAAAATATCAATCAATCATGAAGTGGTTTACCACCAAAATCATACTTGGGAACCAGTATGGAATGTATTCCATAACTTCCATTCTTCGAAAGGCGTGATCCCTACAAACCATGGCATTCAGCACAGGATCCCATCAGTCCTTTAGCAGACCTACTACTGGAAGAATTTTGTTGTCTGAAGACTAGAAATGTGTTTACTTTCAAATAAGACGAGTGTGAATCTTATTGATAACAGGCAGATACTGCTACTTGATGATCTTTTATTTCCATGAATTCTTTTTAGTGAGCCCTGGTGCATTTCTGACAGCTGGGCAGGGTACCTAAGTAGGTTGTTCTCCTTTTCTTTCCCTTCCTTCTTTCCCTCACTCCACCCTCTAGTTCCCAGAGGTCTCTTCCTAATGGAATTTCTCCAGTTGTAGAGAAAAAGGATAGTAAAAACTGAACCTTGTTTGTATTAAGGTCCTATGGACTTAATGTGTTACTTTTAGGGGTACCTGAATTTTAAGAGAGGAAAGCAGAACAGACATGGAATGAGAGAAGAAAGATTTTTTTTAACAAGCCTCAAATTGTATAGCTATAGTCTAGCCCCTATATTCCCAGGAAAATTGACCATTAAAGCAACACTCACTGACCCACTAGTTCACTTCAGTCAGCTGAGTGCTTTCAGGACATTTAGCCCTTCTTGCGCTGTTTTGGAGGAAGAGAACTAAAGAATTAGTACTTTCTGCTGACAGCCTCAACTGGGATCGGGATTTTAGACAATTCACCTTGGTCCAATTTTTTTTTTTTTTTTTGGTAGGCCAAATAGTAAATACGATATCACTGATAATGAACATTCCCTGGTTCTTATATTTTGAAATTTGTGGTTGGGGGTTGAATTTTTACTACTCTTTGGCAAAAAGTTAAGAGAAGAAAAAAAGCAACCCATTGAAACCTGTTAGAACAAGGAACCCACAAAGAACCTGGCTTCACACACAAAGAACCTTTGGTGTGTTATGATCTTCTTGATAGTAAGGCATTTAAGGGCTAAAATGAGTTTGATGCGTTCAGGGGCGCAATGAAAAATGAATGCAAGTTCTTTCTTTAACCCTGAGCCAGTGACTATGCAAAGGGGAAAAGCAGGAAGAGGTCAGATAATATCAAATGGAATGAAGGTGATGGATCATTAAAAAGTCAGTGTTAAATGATGCTTGTTGAAAGGCAGTGGGGGTCTTCCTTGTATTTTGTATGGATATGTAATACTACAACAGCAGCCTGGAAAGTGAGCCCAGGGCTTCAGATTTTAGTCCAAAAGCTAAATGATTGAAAGTTGCATTTTAATCCTGGGCATAAGCACTCTGTAACTTGTAAAATTTCAACCCAAGCAATTTGGGATTGTTTCTGAAACATTAAACTTGTATTTATGTCACTAAAATTCTAACACAAAATTTAAAAATGTATCTCATACCTATGCTGTACTAGGCTTCATGATGCATTTCTAATTTGTGTATGATTTGAATATATGAAAGAATTTATACAAGAGTGTTATTTAAAATTATTAAAAAATAAATGTATATAATTTGTACCTATTGTAGATTTGTTGTTTTACTTTTCCATGTAGTCAGAGTTGTTGGATATCTTTTACATATGTCATGAACCATTTATTTTAAAATCATTGCATGAAAATCCCTGAGTCATTTATTGATCAGATATTTTATCTTAAGGAGCTCCCTTAACTTATATTTTCCGTTTAGGAAACAAGAAGCCACATGAAGAAGATTCCTCCTCTGAGAACAAACAAACAAAATACCTTGGGGAAAAAAAGTATATGTTAACATATATCCTTATTTGTGCGTTTGTCAGTTCCCTATAAGATCACTGGAATTTCTGTGAAAATTTTGTAGGAAAAACTTGTTCTTTTTGGATTCCTTTATGATACATGAACAAATTTCCTTTCTTAAATATAACTCTGAAGGGAAACCATGTTCTGTATGTTTATTAGACAGCCTCAAGTGAAAATACTTCTTATTACTGTGAAATACCCTTGAAAATCTTTTATTTTGACAAAGCTAAATGGTGTTTGATGAGAATGCTATCTAGAGATCCAAGGATGACTTTGAAAAAGAAAAAAAGAAGTCAGGCCATCTTTGTGCTGAGAATTTCATAAGCTTCAATTGGTTTATTCAACTTCAGTTAGTTAGCTTTCAGACTTTACACCCCATATTCCCTTTTCTGGTTACACAAGAGTACAATTATACTTTATAATCACACTATATATATTTATACATATGCTTCTATGATGTGTATGAGTTGATATAACTTCAAGGATACAGAATAAATGTGCCAGAAATCAAATTAATAATTGAAACTTCAAGAGAAAGTAAATATATAATTCAAACTTATTATACCAAAAGGAAGTACTGTCAAAATATTACTTTTTTAACAAAGTATTTATACTTTTGATGAAACTAAAACCATTTTGATAGATGCATTATCAAAATTGCTTGTATTCATTTTCCATAGGTATATAAGATGCAAATCTTAAAAAAAAAAGCTCCACATGCTCCATTATAATTAATCAGTGATGTCAAAGTAACAGTTATTCTTAGTTATGCATAAAAAGTTACACTAAATTCAAAACACCAAAATGGTTTTCATGAGATGATAGTATTAGGAGTGTTAATTGACAGGTTGAAATGCAACATTGCTAAGTGAGTGTTAAAAAAAATAACAGTTTTACCTATAATTAGTTTTTCAAGACAATTCTATGAAGAAATTCTTGCAGTAATTATATACAGGCTAATAGTTCCTCTTACACAATAAAAGCTGTTAGACAATGTTATGTTTAAAATGCTTGACTCATTCGTATTAACAAGTGGGTTAATAACCTTGTATGTTTAACATTGAACCTCAGACAGTGCAGAAAAGGAGGCAAAATGTTTTCTTTGTATGTAATAAGAGTAGGTTTGGGTAATAAAGGAAGTGCTTTGGAGGAAATCTTTCCTGTGGTTTCCTTTGTGTAGTCAGACCAGCTGGTAAAGTCATATGTCAATACTGTTTCCCTTAATCTATGTTCCTAATAAGGAAGAGCCTTAGCCCTTTCCTATGGGCTTTCCAGAAGGTTCCCCACCTTCTGACCCCTGGGTAGTGTCTAATATAAACCAGGTTATGTAATGACTTTATCCTTTTGTTAGTAGTCTCCTTTATAACATTCTTGAGAATGTTCATTTGTGATAAAAGAAAATTGATCAATCGTAGCTCCGTCTTGCCTAATGAATATCTTTCATATTGCACATGTTTTATTGTAAACACTTGTTAATTTATGTCTTCTCTTGTAGGTTCTGTATTTCTTGAAACTGGGAACATTTATTTTATCTCTAGTGTCTGGCATGGTGCTAGCACTGTGTAAGGTCTCAGAAAGTGGTGGTTTAAAACAAAAGGTATCTGACAAGAACCAAGTTTGTTATAACAAACACATCATGGTGAAGCATTATACAAAATATTATATTCAATAGGAGGACATTTAATAGAGATGTTAGCAAATGGACTAGGAGAACATTTAATAGAGATGTTAGCAAATGGACTTCAAAATGTCTGAGAAAGCCTTGAAATTAATTACATGCTGCATTGTTTGTGAATACAATTTATGTGGCTTGTTTTTCTTTTTTCCTGGAGAAAGGATCTATATACCCTTAATCAGAGTCTCCAAAAGATCTATGAACCCAAAAGGATTAACAGCTGCTTGGATGGAGATTACTTCATGTGTTCCGCAACGAAAGTCCTCTCACCAATATACAGCCTGGATGTGTGGTGAGTACACACTGCATGTATGGCCTTGATTCAAAAATCCACTCCTGAGAATCCCTCAGAAGGAAATTATCTAATAAGCACAGAGACTTGTATGAAAAATGTTTTGCTTTTACAGTGGTATTTTCATTTCAAAAAGAACTCTAAAGGTTTACAACAAAGGTGTCATTTAGTAAAAACTAGTTGGTAACAGAGAGTCGCTAAAAAGAATTATTAGACACAATCAAAGTTAAGTGAAGAAAAACAGGCTATTTTGAAGTGAGACAAGCATACCACTTCTGATAGGCTATCTAGAGAAACTCTTGAGTGTGTGCTCTAGGATCACATTTCAGTTTCTTCACTGCGGCATCATTTGATATAGCAAAATAGTTGAAATACTACAAATGTCTTTTAGTAGAACAATGGATAAATTATGATCTGTTCATATACTTTGAACAGAATTTTAGGCAGTCCTAAAAATAAATAACCACTATCTACATAAATATATAAATGGATGAATCTCAAAAACATACTATTGAGCAAAAGAAGCAAGTCACAGAGACATATACAATATAATTTCTTTTATATAAGGGCTCCAAATGGGAACGATAATAATAAAATTCTTTACAAGTATGTATGTATGTATGTATGTGGGAAGGCTAAAGAAAAACAAGGGAATGATTAATATAAAAGTAAAGTTGACTTTGGAAAGAAGAGGGGGGTTCAAAGGTATCCTCAAAGATGTTGGTGATATTCTTTCTTAAGCAGTATGTGTGTCCATGGTTTACATTGTATGTGTTTTTAAACAATGTGTCATATAAACTCAGTGTTATCAATTATGTTTCATAGTGATAATATTAGGGAGACTATAATACCAATGAATATGTGATTTCCGCTATATTGAAAAAAATGCATAGAAAAGTATTTGGAATGACCTCCCATAATTTGTACTCAAGAAACAAAACAAATATACTACATTTCATAATGGTAAATAAACCAAGAAATTCATCTGTAGAAAATAATGATCTTAAATGTCTTTGCACCTAATTATGGTACTTCAGAATACATGAAGCAGAACCTGATAGGAGTGGGAAGATAAATAGGCAAAACCACAGTTGTATTTGGAGAATATAGTCTCTCTCTCAATAGGACAAGTAGAAAACCAGGAATGTTATAAATAGACCACTTGAATAACGCTGTGACCAACTTGACCTAAATTACTAGACCATTCATTCAACAATAGCAGATACACATTCTTTTCAACTGAACATGGAACATTTTCTAAGGTAGACCATAAACTGGGCCATAAAATAGGTCTCAACATTTCTAAAATATCAGATCTACAAGATTTATTTTCTGACCACATTGGAATTAAATTAGAAATTAACAGGTCTATATCTGGAAACTTTTGGTATACTGGAAAACTAACATATTCATAGGTCAACAAAGAAGTGAAAACTAGAAAGTAGTTTGAATGGAACTAAAATAAAAGCACAACTTTCAAACTGGTGGGCTGCAGCTGAATCAGGGAAGTAGAGAGCACTCAGTATATTGGAAAAGAGGGAAGCTAACCTAAGCCTCTACTTGAAAAAACTAGAAAAAGAAGAGCAATATAAGCCCAAAGTAAGCAGCAGATAAAACATAATAAAGATAAGAGCAACAAGAAACAAACAAAACACACTAAGAAACAATTGGGGAAATCAATGTTTTTTTGGCTTTTTTAAAGATTTATTTACTTATACATACAGAGCTGGGGTACAGGCCTGAGATGCAGGAGTGGTGAGAGGATTCACCAGAGACAAGAGTGGGGAGCAGAACAGGCTAATCCATGAAGTACACTAATGAGGGGAGTAGCAGGGGAGACAGGAAAGATCTGCTGCACCATGTGGATCACCTCTGAGGTGGGGGATCGAACTTGCACTGAAATGACTGCAGCTAGCTTGCAGTGCCACTCACCAACCCGTTGTGCCATCAGGGGGGACCAAATCAATGGAATTCAGAGCTGGTTCTTTGAAAAACTGATGCAGTTGATAACTTTCAGGCAGGATGATGAGGAAAAGTTTAAAAAGAAAGAAGACACAAAGTACCAACATCAGAATGAAGAGGAGATTCCACTGTAGTGATGACCTCTGAGTCTTGCAGACTTTAGTATAGTCTGGAAGTTCATGCCAATAAATGTAATGACTTAGGTGAACACATAATCCTTGAAAGACACAGATTATTAAAGCTCTCTTAGAAAGAAAGAAGCTAGATATCAATAGTTGTATATCTATTAAAGTAGTTGAAATGTGAGGTTAACATCCACAAGGAAAATTACAGGTGCAGATTGCTCACTGGTCTATGTATGAAAATTCTAGAGAAGAAATAATACCAATTCTGTATAAACTCTTTTAGAACAATTGAAGAGGAGACAACCTCTCCCAATTTTACAAGACCAGTCTCCCTCTGATACTAAAAAACAAGACATTACAAGAAAAGAAACTACAGTCAATGTCCTTCTTGAACACAGACACTCATGTCTCTAAGAATCTGTAAGTAAATTTAATGTGACAATATAAAAGAAATAGTTCTTCATGGCCGACTGGGTTTCATCCAGTAAATGCAAAGTTTGAAATGTAATATTTGAAAATGAATCCACATAATTCAAATAAAACAAGAAAAATCATAAGATTTCCTCTAAAGAAATTGAAAAATCCTTTGGCAAAATCCACACTGATTCGAGTAAAAATGGTGAAGAAGAAGACGAAACTCTATCCCATCACTTCTGCAAGTTGAGGACTGGCGCTATCTTCATCTTTT